GTTTAACTAGCTAGGAAAAAAATAGTTGAATTTACCTTCAGATTTAGATTTAAAAGAGACAATAAATAATGAACATAATCAAGTCTGAATTCATAGCATCAAAACTGGCAATTAAAAAAGACTGTCTGGTAACTTTAATGAAATAAAGGAAACTCAATAAGAACTGAAATGAGACAAATCTTAAAAATTACTTAATAAATCACTCATTTTGCAATAATTCTGTTTCAAGCTTGGCTAATTTTGAATACCCATTACTAGTAAATCACAACTGATAGAGATTTTACAAGCCATTTTCTATGTATATAATTTGATACAAATGTAACGGATTTCGGCCAATTACTGAAGGATATACATAAACATTCTAGTTTACTTACTACTCCTATTTAAGTACAGAGTATGGAAGCAGGCAAGTAATTAAAGGAAATATAGAAAGAATTAAATATCCGGTCAACATAAGATAGTGAAACAGTATATTAACCAACTAGGTGAAGTAAAAGTAAAGGCTAGTTACAGCTAATTGACAACCCGAATTTAATTTGATGCACATAAACTCATTGAAACGGTAATTTCTAGAATAATCAAGACTTCGGGAAATTAAATTGATAAAAATTAGTTGAAAAAAATAGGCCTTTTTCGAGAAAATTACTCGCCACCTTCTTGACTGTAGGAAGAAGTCAATTTGAATAATTAATCAAGTACAGAGTTATATAGACATTACACAAAGAGATTATTGGTCAACCCACATTCACACCCAAGCAGCAAGGAAGTTGTTCATAATTTGGAGTGAATTTTCTAGCAAGATTTGTCAAAGTAGATGAGCTCTTGTGTTAGCCCGTCCTTGGAGCATATTGACTGAGCACAATTAAACAGTGCTTTAACATTTCTATATCTTAAAGGAGCCGAACTCATGTTGTGGATATAGTTATCGAGGTCAAGATAGTTGTCTGAATATGCCAAGTTTGAGTGTAATATTATAATGATAAGTAGGTAAAACGTTCAGAAAGGCCAGGTTATCGACTTGTGCCTAATTTCATGTGGAAAAAGGGTTATGAGAACAAGGATTTAATCGCTCAAAATGTTAGTTAGTTATGCTTGCATTGGCAGAGACATCCTTAAATTGGCTGTAATGTAAGAAAGTTCTTGCTAATAGCTAATTAGCTCAAATTATCCCCTTTATATAAGACATTAATAAATCTGTTATAAAAGGGAGTAACAAAAGAAAGCCCATTGTCATCCCACCCATGAGGAATAAAACATTTTGCTTGTCTAGAGGTTAATTCTAAAAAGTTAAAATGCATAGAAAACTGTGGGCTGTAAAGGGTTTGAAAATAAACTTCGAAAGGCACCATTCTATACGCATCATTCCTATTTATAGATTATGAAATTGAAAAAAGACTACAAGTAGACCTGATCATGACGAAAAGAGACCAATGATCTTTCATTTTAAAAATAAGTAATAGTTGGAAGACAAGAAAAATAAGCATTCTAAATAAAAGATATGAAGACCAAGATGGTGTGGCCCTCATTAAAGTCGTAGACTCCTTTCGATGTATAGAATTGGGTTTACTTCGAATAGTCAGCTTGGTCTTGTTGTCAGGGCGACCTAATTGGACGCACTTTGTCCAAATTCCTTTGCTATAGTAGTTATAAGTAAAAGCGTCAGACCGTGGACTTGGGACATTCTCAGACGTCTCACCGGCATCGTAGTTGGCATCATCAGTGGCCAAGTTTTGAAAACGAGGTCAACCTACTTATGTGCTTAATAAAGTCCTTTAAGTTTGGATGGAAATTAGCCCTAAAGACTTGAAGTGCATCTATGCTCAATTTTTGCCAAATTTACCACGAAACAAGAAACATGGCTATCTGTCCAATAATTAAGTAGATTTTATATAAACTGCAGCTTTATTTAAGCCATGTGTGTAAACCCTTGTGGATTCATGGGTTATAAAAATCCTGCTCTGCAGTTAGTCATGCGTTTCCTCTATCATTAGCATCGTGTGGCCTGGTAAAACATAATAGCCCTTGCGTAGACAAGGCTTAAACATTAGTGGGAGCTGGATGAGGATACAATTTGGGGATTCGGATTATGGCGTAATTCATAGTATATTCAAACTTTATCCTAATTCAAGATCATAGGGTTGACCAAAAGTCCCCGCAACGCAAATCTAAATGTTGCAAACAATGATTAATAGTCACCCGGTCTTGATCAGCGGAGTGGAGGCTTACAGCAGGCGAGATTATCAGTTGTGAAGGCCTGACATTGACACCTGCACCAAGTAGAGATGATGACAAGGAAGAAACGGGTATAGAAGTAATGGAAGAGGGGAGTGACAGTGGAGCTGCCGGAGCCGGGGCTAAACGAATCAATAGTTCCGCAGAGGTAGGGGGGGATGAAAAAGAAGAAAGAGACGAAACGGAAGAGACAGAAGAGGTCAAAGGCGGTGGAAAGTTGGATGAAGAGAATCTAGTTTGAGAATAGTTGGGTCCAGTGACTGTGGTCAGGTGGGAAGGAGGCATTTCATGTTGACCGCAGATAAAGCCAGATAAAGGAAGAGACTGTTGTGAATGCTGATGATAATGCTGTTGTTGATATTGCTGTGTCAGTTGATGATTTTGCTCTGTCTGTTTGTGGCCGGCATGGCGAAGCAGTTGAGGCGATTGGTTCGAATGCGACGGCTGGGAGTGATATTGTCTGTGAAAACTGGCTGGCTGCGACGAACCCATTTGGATAACTCCTTGCGAAACTGAGAGAGGATGATGTTGCTGTTGCAGGTGTAATTGCAGCTGTTGGTGCTGTTGTTGCCGTTTAAGGAGCGATGATCCTCCTTGAAGATCAATGGATGACAAAGGAGAATTTGAAGAAATGACCATAGTTGTGCTAGGGACAGGGGAAGCGGAAGAAAATGCATTGACGGGGGCGAAGCCCTGGTTACCAGAGACTCCAGAAAAGCTAGGAGATTGACCAAATCCAGAATGCGAGGCATGGATAGCTCCTGAAGATGCTAGTCCTAGTCGTGTCATATGGCAACCCGGAGGAACCGGATTAGCTGCACCCAAGTCAAATCCGGTCATTGATGACCCCGGATTGTGGTTTATTGGCATCTATTAAAAAAAATAGTTTTGGAAAAGCAGTTAGACAATATCTAGCATGAGTAGATTGAGGACGCGGGAGTAATATCATTAGAGATAACCAGTGAAACAGGATATATCCGTATATTTCAGTGATTTAATAGACTTTAAATAATTGAATAAAAAAGGTACAATTTGAGACTTCTCTTTGAGTAAGTTTAACCCCATTTTTACAACCTATGAAGTTTTCAGGGTAACTTCGAAGAACATAAAATGTTACTGTTGTTTGTGCCAATGTTGAGCAGCCTCCTTTCAGCAACAGATCACTGATTGGGTGCATCCCCAGACGATGTTCCACCAATATAGTCGACATCGTCAATGAGCTGCGACAAGCTTATATCCTAGGCTGTCCATTACTTGTGAACTCTTAGTCTGTACCTATAGCTCTTCAATTATTCCCTTTTGTTCTATTCTATTGATGTGCCAATAAAACAACTAATCAAGTCCAAATGAACACTCTGTTTACAATTTATTTAATTTAGTGCGAGAACTTAAATTTGTAAATCTCATGGTCGGAAATTGACTTTATGGGGAACTTCTATCATTCAAAGTGGGCCAACAAAGATTAAGATGTTGGTTCGAACTCGTTTTCGCAACTTGGTCGCGGCATTAGTGAGACCTTGTTAAATGTGCCTGGCCCTGTGTCCCTTCTCATAATATTCGTGATTTCCATCCTTAACTAGACAAAATCCTAAGCGTTTCGCCGGCATCGTCAGTGAGAGGCGCAATCGTTAGCACGTAGTTATAAATTATCCAAGCGCCTCTCCCTGATGATGCCGGCGAAACACCTTGGAATATACAAAGTCAATGGTCAGATGCCGGAAATGACAAAGGTCAAAACAGTATTATAAAGCTGAAGGAGAATGCGACCAAACAGAAGGCCACACTATCTTGATCTTAATATCTACGATCTAATTAAGATTATGTCTATAGCCTCTCTTGCAGCACTCAATAGATTTTTATTAGGCGTGGACCATGAACTTCGAAATGGTTGTGGCTTCTCACCTTTACATTTTTCTGTGGGTCATTCCTCTAAAATATTTTGAAGCTAATATTTAATTTGAATCCCCTCATTAAAACCAATTGATTTGGTCGCGCGTAAGTGTTCTACGCTTATGAATCCTTCCCTGTCAAAATTTCTTTTTGATGTTGCTGATATTTAGTTTTATGGTAGCTGTTTTTTTAGTTTCCTCAAGATGCAGTTGCCCACAGCCGTTGTATTTGATATAAAAAAACCCTGAGCAATAACGTTTTTTTATCCCATATTACATGGGTAATGTCGTTAACTATTGTGTTGCCGCAAAATGGTATAAATACTCAAATATATCTGCTTAGGGACCAGTTTACTTAAAAGTAGACATATTATACTTTATGCAGCCTCCTCGCCTAATTTGCTTTCATAATCACCTTGAAATTTGTCCATTGTGATATGTATATATATAAGCTCCGCTGAGTATTATTTCCCGAGAAGCAATTAATTTATTTATATTCATTGAGCACGTGCGAAAATTATCCCATTTGCTCGTCAAATTTTTCTGCCAAAATTTAAATGATTAGGCTTACATTCTCTGATTCACAGTGAGTAGTTATACAAAAAAAAACATGGATAATTCTTGTACATTATTTATTTTAGGTAAGCATGTCATAATGGAGATATAAGAGAATTACTTAAACATAAAGATGGGTTAGTTGCCTATTCCCCTCTACTTCCATTGTGAATTTGACTTCCTCATCGATCCGGCTAAAGAACATTAGCAACTCTCATTTTAATCAGACAGGTCATGACGGTTATGCTGAAATCATCTAGTTTTCCTTCAGCTTGTTCATGTCGTGAACCAAAAAGTAAAATGAAAAGATGTGATTATTAAATGCGGACTAGGCAGATTGTTACCCGTGGAAATGAGTATCAGTAATTATTGTTTAAGTGAGAGATTTTTGTAAGGCTATTGAAAGCCTTGCAAGCCTTGCCTTCTTTATACAAATATATCCCAAGTTTTTGGCATTTCTGCATTGTCCATCAGGAAGATGATATCTTTGTTTAGACTGGACTGGATGAATTAGATGTGCATCGCAACAAAAATCGCATAACAAAGAAGTATTGAGGCTTCATCCATCTTTGATGATAATAATATATGAATATTATCTGTCTAATGTGTAATAATAGATAAGGCACCAAGATATTAAATCGTAGATATCAAGACCAAGTTGGTGCGTCCTTTTGTTTAGTCGCAGTATCCTTTAGCTTTATAGTGTTGGTTAGACCTCGTTTTCTAAATTTGGTCGGAGTGTTAGTTAGACCTTAAAGAACGTAGCCATAGTATTCATGGTTTTCAGCATGGGACAACCAACGCAATACATTCCCAAACGTTTCGCCAGCGTCGTCAGTGAAAGGAGCCATCGTTGGCACAGTTACAACTTATCGAATTCACAAGTCACAAGTGGATGGTCCTATTCTAGAAATCACGAATACTATGGCAAAGGAAACAGGACTAGGCACATTTCACAAGGTCTTCCTGATGCCCCGAAAATGTTGTGAGAACGGAGTCTAACCAACACTATCAATAAATTAAATTGAACCATAGCAATCTTAATATTTTTGAATTATAGAAGCATTAACAAAAAGATACATTGCAACGAAAAAATTCTATGAATCACGCTAATGCATAAATTTATTTCTAAAATGTAATCGTTCAAATTGAATAAAAAGAAAAAGGCATTACATAATACTAGTGGAGTTATTTTTCACTTTTACCTATGCAAATTATTGAAGGAAAAGGGAGTTTACAAGGAGTTAAGAAATCTCCACTAGATATAGAAGTAAAATGCCATAGATCGGTTTGAAGAAGCATAATCATAAACAAACAATTAAATATAAACCGTATAAAAATAACAATAGTAATATAACGAATTTTATAATTTAATATTTTATTTAAAATGGTTTAATCCCGTTTTCGTAACTTGGACTTAGTTAAACGCACATTTTTCGGAGCACTCTGCCAAAGTAGCCATAATAATTTACAGCTTCGGATTGTGGACTTGGTCCCAGGTCCGACGCTGAAAATTATCATGGCTACTATGTCAGAGGACTCCAAACAAGGTGTGATCACCAGGATCTATGAAAATATGATTAAGTTTCGGAAGTATATATAAATATACAAAGAAAGAGGATCGATATAATCATAGTAATAAGCCACGCCACCTTGTTTTTCATATCTCCGATATTTTCTTATTCGCATGTGGCTTTCAAAAGCGTACCACTCCATTCATTTAAAATATATAAGAAATCGATATATATTGCTTAAATACATTATACAAATAATAGAATGTTACTTGAAATAATTGCTGAAGTGAGATTGAGAACAAATTAAATATGAGAGAAGTGTTTTAAGATTTAAAGATATGATTATTTCCTTCTTTTAATCATACCATCAATAGTAGTTATAGCTTCCTTACTAATTCTACTCCAATTCAATAATAGGAGGTACATAGTGAGAATAAAGTACATTTCACCGAAGCAGACAGCAAATTTATGATGAAGATAAACTACAAATAAGTTTAATAGATGAGTCGTTATCTATCAAAAAGTTTCCTGATAAATCAAAGATGTGAAGATCAAGATGATGGAGATCTTGGAATAGAAGAAGCGAAGCAGATAAATAGTCGTTATGGCGACTGGTTAACTTGACATTAACGACTACATATTTTACGATCAATGGAAATATCTAAGTAAATATTTGGACTAGCTATGCGATATCCATTCTCCTCTTTTGGTAAATATGTACATGGGCTAATTTGAAAAGGATTTCAAGAAGTCACCATGGCAACAAAGAGTCGTCACGCGATACCTGGGAAGAAGTATTCGGAGGAATTCCTGAGCTTCATGTGTCAATTTGATGGAAGAACCAAATTCACAATAGGGATGGAGGAGGATGGACAACTATAATTCCTCAATGTCAAAGTCATTCGTTCCAGTGGGACATTCAAGAGAATATTCAGAAAATCATATGCTGGAATAATCCTCAATTTCAACAATATCTCATCATTCAAGCTCAATTACAGACTGAAGATTGAAATAATGAGGAATTTGATTGACAAAGCTAAAGATTAACGGACACGGAGTCCTGCGAAGAGGTAAATAAACTTATCCGAATTTTCGTCGGATATTCCAGAGAATTGATGCAAACAAATATAGAGAGAATAAAATCAGGAGTCAAGAGGACGACTAAAAGTAGACTAAAAGTATTTACCCACCTGGGAATTGAGTCAAAAATTCCAACTGTTACTAAGAAAATAGAATATATAGGTGATAACGAAGGAGAATATAACAATCTTCACTAGCGACAAGAGGTGATTGGCAAAATTGATTGCTCA